TGGTGAGCTGGTTGTCACGCGAGGTGTACGTTGCGCTTTTGCGCTTCCACGCTTTCGGTGTGGTCCGTGTTCCGTGGCTGCTGGATGCCACGTTTGGTATGGTGGATCTCGAAGGATCACCGTGGTCGTATGGACGGGTAGTGCGTCTGTGTCGGAGATGTGTGCGGAGGCTCATGGCTAGCTAGGGTGCGAGCCTGTATATGCGATGATAGTGTACGGAGTAACGAGATGTCTTAGTCGGATAGGTAGTGTGCATCCGAATGTAATGAAATAGATTATTGTATGCATTGTGCCGAGCGGCGTAGATGAGCAGTAGACTGCCATGGTAGAACAACTAAATGAACAGAGTGATTGAATGTGTGAGAACATGTGTGGTGGAAAACACCAAAAAGGATCGTGAGATCTGTAAAACACTAAGAGTGGGGGGCCTCACTTTGCCCCACCAAGATGCGTGTCCTAAGACATGCTTTTACCCTGCTTGTGCAGATAAATTCCTTAAAAAGAGGTACTTCTTTTCCGGAACCGCGGGGTACGGGGCGGCAGCCCTGTGCCACACGAGCGTAGCGACGTGGCGAATAACCACGGAAGTGAGATGATGAAATCATATTTTCTACTCACAGAGAGAAACCATGGCTATGCAACAACAAACACAGAGTGTGGGAGCGTGGCTGACGCCGAAGGTGGCATGGCGCGTGACCAACAGACGGACGAGGCGACGGCGAGCCAAGGGGTCGTCGTCAACGAAGTTCGTTGACCAAAGTGGATACGACAGGGAATATTTCGCGATTTGAGCGAATCAGAACGCCCATCTAGCGAGCATTTGGTGCGAGCTCTGTATGATTCACTTGTAAGATGGGCGTTGACCGTTGACAGAGTGGAGCCTCGCTCCATCTCTTGCTACCCTATCAGAGATGGGCCTGCTGGCCCATATCTGTTACCTAAAAGGGACGAAAGTGGGCCACTTTCTCCCACATGGCAAACTACAAAGGAGGGCGGGAGCCCTCCTGGAAGAATGCAGAGGATTTCATTTCTTCTTCTTTTCTTTTTCTGGCAGAAACACAGCAGAGCGACAGCAGGGACTGACAACAGGGGGATCGTTGTGCGGATGGCGCGAGGCCAGGGGACGGTTGATCCGTCCTTGCTACATACGGAGGAAGTGTGGAAGGAGGGAGGACACACGATTGCTGCTGTGGCAGTACCGAGGGAGGGACGAGAGGTGGATGACGTGCTGCGCAGGGTGCGAGACGATGCTAGATGCCGGCAGGCGGGGACACTGGTGGTGTCGTTGGTAGCCTGGAGCGATGAATCGCTTCTTTTTGTGGTCGGGTTGAGCGGGCCGCTGACAGACCTGGGTTTTCTGCAGGATCAGATTGTGTGCCGGGCGGCACAGGATTGTCTTGTCCCCGAGAGAGGAGAGCAGCCGTGGAACTATCTGCTTCGCATTCTTGGACCGTACCCGGAGCGCCGGGAGGGGGCGTTACGGCGTGTGTGTGAGTTGTTTGGGCAGGAGGTGCCTGCCTTTGGCCAGGTCGGACGTGGCGATGTTTGCCTTTCTCCTGGTCGAGCAGCGCGCTGGCAGAGGGAGGCGGTGCCTCTTCTCTTTCCTGATTCCCTAGGGGAGGAGGACGGACCTACTCCGATGGTTGATCCGTCGGTCGATTAGCATTCCTCACGTTACGTGCAGCGTGTCGCGTAGCATCCTAGATTGGAGGCCTCCAGGCGTGGGCGAGAGCTCCGTACAGACTATTACCACTGGGAGCGGAGGCGGCTAGTCCCTTTCCTTGCTGGAGTGCGGTGCACGATCTCTTTTTCCTCCTTTGGAGCCCAGGGTGGTTATCGGTAGCGGGGTCGTCTACTGCAGAGGCTTGGTGCTTGGTGAGCTGGTTGTCACGCGAGGTGTACGTTGCGCTTTTGCGCTTCCACGCTTTCGGTGTGGTCCGTGTTCCGTGGCTGCTGGATGCCACGTTTGGTATGGTGGATCTCGAAGGATCACCGTGGTCGTATGGACGGGTAGTGCGTCTGTGTCGGAGATGTGTGCGGAGGCTCATGGCTAGCTAGGGTGCGAGCCTGTATATGCGATGATAGTGTACGGAGTAACGAGATGTCTTAGTCGGATAGGTAGTGTGCATCCGAATGTAATGAAATAGATTATTGTATGCATTGTGCCGAGCGGCGTAGATGAGCAGTAGACTGCCATGGTAGAACAACTAAATGAACAGAGTGATTGAATGTGTGAGAACATGTGTGGTGGAAAACACCAAAAAGGATCGTGAGATCTGTAAAACACTAAGAGTGGGGGGCCTCACTTTGCCCCACCAAGATGCGTGTCCTAAGACATGCTTTTACCCTGCTTGTGCAGATAAATTCCTTAAAAAGAGGTACTTCTTTTCCGGAACCGCGGGGTACGGGGCGGCAGCCCTGTGCCACACGAGCGTAGCGACGTGGCGAATAACTACGAGAGTCAAACAGGTAGGTCCAAGGACCCACTCTGTCAACGGTCAACGCCCATCTTACAAGTGAATCATACAGAGCTCGCACCAAATGCTCGCTAGATGGGCGTTCTGATTCGTCCAAAGGCCAAATTATTCCCTGTCGTATCCACTTTGGTCAACGAACTTCGTTGACGACGACCCCTTGGCTCGCCGTCGCCTCGTCCGTCTGTTGGTCACGCGCCATGCCACCTTCGGCGTCAGCCACGCTCCCAGCTTCCAGCGTTGTTGTTGTTATAGCCATATGTTCTACTAGTAGTAACAGCATTCATTCTTCATGTCTCTTCGAGTTATTCGCCACGGCTGCTGCGCAGCTAGTGGCACAGGGCTGCCGCCCCGTACCCCGCGGTTCCGGAAAAGAAGTACCTCTTTTTAAGGAATTTATCTGCACAAGCAGGGTAAAAGCATGTCTTAGGACACGCATCTTGTAGTTTTTGAAGCTCCACTTCACTAGTGTTTCACCATCTCACGATCATTCTTGGAGGTTTGCTCCACCTTTTAGTCAATCCATCACTCCGTTCCTTTCATTTCATTTCATTTCATTGCTGGTTATCTCACGCATTGCTCATCACATTTCGTTTGGTTCATATCACTGGTTCATTCCATTTCCTGTTTGGTCCACCGTTCACGTTATTCACTAGTTGTATTGTTCTGCACACGAATTCCATCGTGGAGTCGCGCCAGCCACTAGACTGAATCCAGTGGGAATGGGAGTGAGAAGCCTGGGGAAAGCCCACGCAAGCACTGGTGCCTCCAAGCAAGACTCAAGTGGTGCACAGCACCGACGTTTGTAAAAAACCATCCCTGGTCATATGATCGAGTGCGGTCCTCCACACCCCAGACTACGTCACCGCATCTCCTGTCAGAAGATCGATAAGGCAACCCTCGGTACTCGTGTCGCGTACCATGCACCGCGGTCCACAGGAAGGAGAGAGGCAGAAGATCCCCTGCCTCCACCACAACAACGGGTAGCTCAAGGCATACTCAACCGTCCTCTGCACCCACGCCGTCCGACAGACGGCTCTCGAGGCGACACAAAGCCTCCTCGCACTCAACTCCGTACCGATCCCCCAGGATCAAAAGCGCGCACAGCGCATACACCAGCTGGAACAGCCCAAGGTCGCCTCTGCTCCCTACTCGCCTGAACTGCACCGCCACGGGACAGCGACACCGCCGCCACTCGCCCCCGGCAACACAGAACCTGCACTGCACCGCAAGCCTTCTCTCCAGGCTCTCGAAAGCCGACTCCACCCGAGTCGGACATAGGCTCCTCAGCGTCTCATCCTTCTCATAGCAACAGAGCACCGCCCAGTGGAAGACCTCCTTCCTCGACAGCACTTCTGCCCCCGCCATTTCCTGGCTCCATATGTCCTCCGTCTCCATGTGAATTTGGTGCTCCCGGCACCACCCGCGCAGCGCTCCTTCCGCGTCCTCCGCAGCCCTGTCCCAGGTTCCCCAGCCTTCCATCTGGTATGCATCACATACCATCCTACCGATCCGGTCGTTCAGTGCCCTCACTTCCTCAGCTCCCGTCCCGGTACTACCCGCCCGCAACCAGCGGTCGCTTGGCTCACGCCATGGTATCCAAAAGAGGGAGCGCCCCAGCGCGACCTTCTCTCCGCGCATCCTCGAGAAAGAAAGAAAAAACAGCCTCCGTTCTCTGTTTGCACTCCGTTGTCGTCGTTCCCCTATGTTTCCGCCGGAAATGAAAAGAAAGAGAAAGATCGTCCCTCCCATTCTCCAGCAACGGAGGGCTGCGCCCTCCTTATGTAAATCCAAGTGGGGCCAGAACTGACCCAGTTCCTGTCCCAAAAGGGTAGTCGATATGGGCCAGCAGGCCCATCTCTCATAGGTCAAACAGGTAGGTCCGAAGGACCCACTCTGTCAACGGTCAACGCCCATCTTACAAGTGAATCATACAGAGCTCGCACCAAATGCTCGCTAGATGGGCGTTCTGATTCGTCCAAAGGCCAAATTATTCCCTGTCGTATCCACTTTGGTCAACGAACTTCGTTGACGACGACCCCTTGGCTCGCCGTCGCCTCGTCCGTCTGTTGGTCACGCGCCATGCCACCTTCGGCGTCAGCCACGCTCCCAGCTTCCAGCGTTGTTGTTGTTATAGCCATATGTTCTACTAGTAGTAACAGCATTCATTCTTCATGTCTCTTCGAGTTATTCGCCACGGCTGCTGCGCAGCTAGTGGCACAGGGCTGCCGCCCCGTACCCCGCGGTTCCGGAAAGGAAGTACCTCTTTTTAACATGCGAGGTGGTACCAGACTAAAAGCATGCTTCAGGACATGCATCTTGTTGGGGCAAATGAAGCCCCACACTAGTAGTATTTAAAAATCTCACGATCTTTTCTGGTGTTTTGTTTCACTGCACACTCATTTTAATCATTCACTCTGTTCAATTACTTAGTTCTACTGATTACTCCGCTCACGACATTGTTTCACTAGTGCACTCTGTTTCATTCATCCTACTGTCGCAGGCTACTGCTCGCATGCTGATCGCATAAGAAAGGTACTCTGTTATCCTCATCCTGATCTGCTACGTACGGGTGCACCCCGTCTAAGTCCTGCATCCTCCAGTTCCACCAGTGTCCTGTGGTCATCCTCACCTCGTGTCTCGTGCATCCCACGCGCGCATCATCCAGCCTGTCTGCGCTATGCTGTCTTGGTTCCCCAGGAACGCGAACCGAAACGTCGTAGCTCCTCCTCCACGCCACGGTCATTCTTCCCGAAGTACCTGTAAAAGGTAGCCCACTGCTCCTTCACATCAACCGGTTGAAAGGTAGCACCCTGCGTGCCACCTGACATCGTGAAGGCGGCCACGACCACGAGCCGACCATGGTCCCCATCTTCCTCATGAGTGGTACTCTCGACAAAGGCAAGCGACACGCTGTGCCCATTGCGCTCATCTACAAACAGCTCCACGTCGGCTGATTTGTCCCAGTCCCCGGGGGTCCTGAGGCGCATCACAGTCCAAGAGTGATACTGACAGTCACCACTTTGTGCTCCAACCGTCTCGCGCGAAAGTGTTCTCATAACCAGTGCACCCAACTGGTGAAATGCCCACCGGGCTTCCTCATCTCGTCTCCACAGGCGACAATACCTGAGCTCCTCCTCTCCCTTCCGAGGGAAATCATCACACACCGTCCCGTCGTGCCGCACCACCGCCGTGCACTGCAGCTTGCCTGGATCATCAAAATCCAGCTTGATCAGACGATCAACCAGGGTCTCCACCTGTCTCAGCTCCTCCACAGTAAAGCTGGTCCAGTCCCCTATGCCTGGAAACCACCGTGCATCCATATCTTTTGGCACGCTCCGCTGCCCCCGTCTCGGCTTGGATCTAAGATCCTGCGCCATCCGCAAGTCAACCATCCTCGACGTCCCGCCCTCACCCATCATCTCTCCGATGAAGAACAAGTGATCGCCCCTTCGTGTCGTCGTCGTGCTCATCAAGTGAAGCACGATTGCTGCACTCCGTGCAAAAGGAAAGAAGAAGAAAGAAAAAGAAGCAACCGTCCCTCTGTTGCTGCACCCCGTGTTCCCGCCCCGCTATTCTTTTCGCCGAAAAATAAAAAGGAGGGAAGAAATGAAATCCTCTGCATTCTTCCAGGGAGGGCTCCCGCCCTCCTTTGTAGTTTGCCATGTGGGAGAAAGTGGCCCACTTTCGTCCCTTTTAGGTAACAGATATGGGCCAGCAGGCCCATCTCTGATAGGGTAGCAAGAGATGGAGCGAGGCTCCACTCTGTCAACGGTCAACGCCCATCTTACAAGTGAATCATACAGAGCTCGCACCAAATGCTCGCTAGATGGGCGTTCTGATTCGTCCAAAGGCCAAATTATTCCCTGTCGTATCCACTTTGGTCAACGAACTTCGTTGACGACGACCCCTTGGCTCGCCGTCGCCTCGTCCGTCTGTTGGTCACGCGCCATGCCACCTTCGGCGTCAGCCACGCTCCCACACTCTGTGTTTGTTGTTGCATAGCCATGGTTTCTCTCTGTGAGTAGAAAATATGATTTCATCATTTTACTCTCGTAGTTATTCGCCACGTCGCTACGCTCGTGTGGCACAGGGCTGCCGCCCCGTACCCCGCGGTTCCGGAAAGGAAGTACCTCTTTCTGACAGCATTCGGTACCAGACTAAGGGCATGCTCTAGCTGCACGCATCTTCGAGGATTTGAAGCTCCACTTTCTTCACATTTAGTCATCTCACGATGTTTTTAGGTGTTTCACACTCTACTTTCATTCACTTCGTTTCATGTCATTACATTTCGTTTGATTATTCGGCCTACTCAATATCGTCTCCGCCACAGAGTTCACCACAACACGACCCTTCCAGGTAGTCCATCACCCAGGTCACCTACCCTACTAGTTCCTAGACACAAAGGTAAAACAAGGCTGTCAGGCCCACCAAGTGCACAAGAAGCGCACGTAAGAACAGCTCCCGCTGGTACGCACAAAGCAGAGGACATCTACGCTGCCCCCCGTCCTCAGGTTCGAGTGCAAGTCCAAGACATTCCGTATGTCACGACAAACCTGCATATAAACGCGCCAGTCCAAGACCAAGCCGCGACTCCGTACCCGTGTTACTCCAGAAGAAGTCCACATATCGCTCCGCCCTCCAGCCAGAGGCACTAACCTCCGGCCACGTCGCCAGGCTCCCCGTCTTACTAAGAGGGATCACCAATCGGACCTGACGAGCCCACTTTGCAGACTCCTCGCATGAAGGTGCGTAGTACTCCCAACCACGCGCACAAAGAATCTTCTCAGGATACAATCCTAAGGTGAAGGACCCGTTCAGCAAGAACAGCTTCCTCCACACCAACGTGCTCCGCGGGTAGAAGCAGACAACTCTGTCTCCCTCAATAAACGCCCGTAATGGGTCATAAAGACACCCTCGACTCGAGGCCCCACCCGGCCTCGAACCACAAACACGCTCTGCCTCCCAGATCGTGACGACAGTAGACTTCGAACCATGGAGCATGCTCCAAGCACGAGGACTTCCCGCCCTTCGCACCTGTGCATCCAGCACATCTCGGTACCCGCTCCGCTGCAAAAAGGTCCGCAGCGAAGCCACACGTGTTCCACCACTATCCTCTTCCTCGTCCCACTCCGTGAAGACTACGTCAAGAGTAGGCGGGCAAGCCGCGCGGTGTCCCCCCAGGAACATCACAACAGAAAGGCCGACCACCCGGCCATGAACCTCCGCAAGCAGTTCCAAAAACCTCCCGGCATCGCTCATGCCGTACACCTCCTCCAGGTACGTGCGAACATTCCATCTCGGATCCCGCCACTGCTCCGCGCGCAGCAGCGAACACGTCGAGCCCAGCCTGGCGCTCTCCGCCAACGACAAGTGCCTCCGCACCTCATCCCGCATCTCCAGCGGCCCATCCAGCCACGACCGTCCCCTCTCGTGTCGCTCCGCCATCTCGTCCCTCTGTTTTCGTCCCGAAAGTAGGTGGGAAAGAAGAGAGATCCTCTGCTCTCTTTCCAGGAGGGCTCCCGCCCTCCCTTTGTACTTTCAAGGTTGGTCCAAACTGACCCAGTTTGTCCCGATTAGGTAACGGATTGTGGCCAGCAGGCCACATCCTCATAGGTCAGCCAGTCGTGGAGGCAGGCTCCACTCTGTCAACGGTCAACGCCCATCTTACAAGTGAATCATACAGAGCTCGCACCAAATGCTCGCTAGATGGGCGTTCTGATTCGCTCAAATCGCGAAATATTCCCTGTCGTATCCACTTTGGTCAACGAACTTCGTTGACGACGACCCCTTGGCTCGCCGTCGCCTCGTCCGTCTGTTGGTCACGCGCCATGCCACCTTCGGCGTCAGCCACGCTCCCACACTCTGTGTTTGTTGTTGCATATCCATGGTTTCTCTTTGCAGTAGAAAATATGATTTCATCATCTCACTTCCGTGGTTATTCGCCACGTCGCTACGCTCGTGTGGCACAGGGCTGCCGCCCCGTACCCCGCGGTTCCGGAAAAGAAGTACCTCTTTTTAAGGAATTTATCTGCACAAGCAGGGTAAAAGCATGTCTTAGGACACGCATCTTGTAGTTTTTGAAGCTCCACTTCACTAGTGTTTCACCATCTCACGATCATTCTTGGAGGTTTGCTCCACCTTTTAGTCAATCCATCACTCCGTTCCTTTCATTTCATTTCATTTCATTGCTGGTTATCTCACGCATTGCTCATCACATTTCGTTTGGTTCATATCACTGGTTCATTCCATTTCCTGTTTGGTCCACCGTTCACGTTATTCACTAGTTGTATTGTTCTGCACACGAATTCCATCGTGGAGTCGCGCCAGCCACTAGACTGAATCCAGTGGGAATGGGAGTGAGAAGCCTGGGGAAAGCCCACGCAAGCACTGGTGCCTCCAAGCAAGACTCAAGTGGTGCACAGCACCGACGTTTGTAAAAAACCATCCCTGGTCATATGATCGAGTGCGGTCCTCCACACCCCAGACTACGTCACCGCATCTCCTGTCAGAAGATCGATAAGGCAACCCTCGGTACTCGTGTCGCGTACCATGCACCGCGGTCCACAGGAAGGAGAGAGGCAGAAGATCCCCTGCCTCCACCACAACAACGGGTAGCTCAAGGCATACTCAACCGTCCTCTGCACCCACGCCGTCCGACAGACGGCTCTCGAGGCGACACAAAGCCTCCTCGCACTCAACTCCGTACCGATCCCCCAGGATCAAAAGCGCGCACAGCGCATACACCAGCTGGAACAGCCCAAGGTCGCCTCTGCTCCCTACTCGCCTGAACTGCACCGCCACGGGACAGCGACACCGCCGCCACTCGCCCCCGGCAACACAGAACCTGCACTGCACCGCAAGCCTTCTCTCCAGGCTCTCGAAAGCCGACTCCACCCGAGTCGGACATAGGCTCCTCAGCGTCTCATCCTTCTCATAGCAACAGAGCACCGCCCAGTGGAAGACCTCCTTCCTCGACAGCACTTCTGCCCCCGCCATTTCCTGGCTCCATATGTCCTCCGTCTCCATGTGAATTTGGTGCTCCCGGCACCACCCGCGCAGCGCTCCTTCCGCGTCCTCCGCAGCCCTGTCCCAGGTTCCCCAGCCTTCCATCTGGTATGCATCACATACCATCCTACCGATCCGGTCGTTCAGTGCCCTCACTTCCTCAGCTCCCGTCCCGGTACTACCCGCCCGCAACCAGCGGTCGCTTGGCTCACGCCATGGTATCCAAAAGAGGGAGCGCCCCAGCGCGACCTTCTCTCCGCGCATCCTCGAGAAAGAAAGAAAAAACAGCCTCCGTTCTCTGTTTGCACTCCGTTGTCGTCGTTCCCCTATGTTTCCGCCGGAAATGAAAAGAAAGAGAAAGATCGTCCCTCCCATTCTCCAGCAACGGAGGGCTGCGCCCTCCTTATGTAAATCCAAGTGGGGCCAGAACTGACCCAGTTCCTGTCCCAAAAGGGTAGTCGATATGGGCCAGCAGGCCCATCTCTCATAGGTCAAACAGGTAGGTCCGAAGGACCCACTCTGTCAACGGTCAACGCCCATCTTACAAGTGAATCATACAGAGCTCGCACCAAATGCTCGCTAGATGGGCGTTCTGATTCGCTCAAATCGCGAAATATTCCCTGTCGTATCCACTTTGGTCAACGAACTTCGTTGACGACGACCCCTTGGCTCGCCGTCGCCTCGTCCGTCTGTTGGTCACGCGCCATGCCACCTTCGGCGTCAGCCACGCTCCCACACTCTGTGTTTGTTGTTGCATAGCCATGGTTTCTCTCTGTGAGTAGAAAATATGATTTCATCATTCACTCTCGTAGTTATTCGCCACGTCGCTACGCTCGTGTGGCACAGGGCTGCCGCCCCGTACCCCGCCGATCCGGAACTCTAGCCATCTTTTCTGACAGCATGCGGATTAAGTAATAAAAGCATGTTTTAGGACATGCATCTCGCACAGCTTATGTGAAGTCAGCCACACACAGTGTTTCTCTAATCTCACGATTCTTCTTGGTGTTTCGCTCCAACACCATTTGATTGTTCCACACATCATTGCACTGCACTATCTGTTCATTTCATCTCACTCATGCTACCACGTCTACGACGGCTTGTAGGAGAACCCACAAACTGTTCTACATCATCGACAATCATCTCATCCTGTATCGCACGCTCCAGGGTCGCAAACGACGGCTCCTCCTCAAAGAGACACACGCATCTCCCCTGCCGTAACACGTCCCGCGTGCACTCGCGTACCAAGGCGGGGACAACCTCATCACCTCGGCGCAAATTCAGCCACAATGCTCGCGCCACCAGAGGAAAAGGCTGGACAATCCTGTCCGCGAAGACACACTCCGCAGCCCTCATATCCGTGCACTGCCGTATCCAATAGCCGACGAGATCCTCCTCATCTACCACGACCAGCTTGAACCCAAGCTTGGGACATTCTACATCCTCACGGCTAGGCCGTCCTGTGCGCAGCACATACTGCAAACGACGCACCCGCCCGGGCTGCTCCTCCAGGTCCTGCATCTCTTGACAACCCAACCTCGACGTCAGGGTGTGTATCAGGTGGCCAACATTGGTCCCACCACTGCACGGCTCAAAAGCCGCCTGCCAAGTC